CTTGTATTCAAAGAAAGGCTGACTCAAGAAGGAAGGGAAGGACACAGCTGAAGATACCACCAGCCCTGGAAGAGTTCTGTGCTTGAATGTGGTTCTAGAATTGCACTGACCGAGGATGGCACAATCCCTCAGCCCTAAAATGCCTTAGCATTCATTCTATAGCCCTGTGGCGCTAAAACTCCATGGTGACTGGGGAAAGGGAAACATCATATCTATCCCCTCCCCTTGGTAAAAGCCATCCTTAAGGAAAAGACCTTGACCCCACAGCACCCAAAGGCAAGCAGGCCTATCCTACTTCTAAATTCATGTTCTCCCCCTCCCTCCCTCTCTTTATTGCCCCTCTCTCTCTACTCCCTCCCTCTCTCTCCCTCTCCCTCCGGACTTCTGTGTATCTGTGTTTTCACATCTGCAAACCCCCTCCACCATCCCTCCTCTAGGCCTGGCAACCACACATTTACCATCTGTATATAACCCAGTGATTAACACCTCTAGCTGGAGGGGAGGGGTGTGGACCCCTTCTTCCTGCCAACCAGGTAAATCTAAGTTACAGCAGCACTCCAGCTCTCCCAAGAGAACAGGGTGGGGGAGGGGGAGCGGGGAGAAGGCAGAAGTACACATAGCAAGATCCATCAAAGAATGTCCCAGACATGCACATACACAGACCCAGAAAGGCATGAATATCGCACACAAATGTAACAGACAGCACATATACATATGTGTATAGTCTTCACGCATCTGCAAACAACCACATACAGGCACACAACCCACAGTGACATACAAAGACACAAAGACAAAGATATTTGTCATACCCATGGGCAAACACATACGATTAAGTTCAGAGACACAGCTACATACTCAGAAACACACACACACACACTTCAGTTGCACTGCACCAAGTCCTCTAGATGACAGATGGCAAAATCTCCACTTTTTTCATCTGTAAGTGCCATTACCCATTTATTCAAGAGATTATTTTACAACCACCATGCACACTGCCTGACACTGGGCCCTTTGGAAACTCCAGGGTGGTGGCACAGTGGTGGGGAGGGGGACAGTTTCAGTCAGACCCTGGAAACCCAGAAGCAGCTGGAACACAGGTAGACCTAGGATTTCTCAGAGCTGTAGAAATGGCACATGCCTTTAATCCCAGAGCTCAGAGGTAGAGGCAAGACGACCTCTGTGAGTTGGAGGCCAGCCTGGTCTACAGAGCTAGTTCTAGGACAGCCAGGGCTACACAGAGAAACCCTGTCTTGAGAAAGAAAAAAATAATGGATTGCTGGGGAACAAGTAGCGACTCTTATCAGAGCAGCTCTGCCTCCCCATGTCCTGCTAGGGAAGCCCTGCTTTCCCTATGGTGAGCACAGCAATAGTGTTGGGTGGGGAATCTCAGGTGTGGAGGACAGTTGGGGCAGGAGGTTAGGAGTAGAGAGCCTGGTAGAAACTAGAGGTGGAGATGGGAATGGTACCAAAAGGTCTGATTTTAATGCCAATTGAGTAGGGTGTCTGGGGAGTCTGTCGCCTCACGAAGCCTGATAGCTCAGTGAGCAGTGACAAGTGGACACAGAAAAGTGTGGTGAAGGCTCCTGTTGATATTCTGAGGAGACTTTCTGCTCCAAGGGCAGTAGCACTATACAGGCCTGGTGTGGCTATTGTTCCTCAAAAGCCGTTGTCGAAGCACACAGAGAGACTGACACAGAGGAAGTGGTGTATGTCTCAAGCTTTCCCTCAGGCTCAAGCAAGTCCCGTAGAAAAGACCGATACTCCAACCATAGAACACCAAAGGGAGGCTTGGACTCCTTGCCTGTCAGACAAAAACACCTGTTCCTGGGACAAGCCAGGCCGGACCACGCCCTCAGGACAGAGCAACCTCAGCCCCTCTGAGAAGCTGCCCGTGTCCTTACAGACAGAGCTTCCTGCTTCCTCCTCAACTCCTTCCAAAGCCATCAGCTACTTCTTGAGGCCTTCCTATGTTCAGGCTCAGCCCAACTACTTGGGAATAAAGAATAAAGGAAGAGTCTACACAGAGCCCCCAGTGTGAAGGCAGAGTCATTCCAGCCCATAATATGGAACATTTATAAGCCACCAGAAAATGTCAGTGTACTCAAGGGGAGAAAAAGAGGGGGGGGGGATGAGGTGGTGGGAAGCAAGGGACAGCATGGCTGAGGCAGTTCTCCTGAGGAGACTGCATCTGAGTAGAGCAGGAAGGGTTGGAACAAACAAGGGGAGAGGGGGGTTACTGTCACAGCCAACAGCAAATACAAAGGCCCTGAGGCAGGGGCTCACTGAGTATTCAAAGGCCCTGAGGCAGGGGCTCACTGAGTGTTCAGGGCCCTGAGGCAGGGGCTCACTGAGTGTTCAGGGCCCTGAGGCAGGGGCTCACTGAGTGTTCAAAGGCCCTGAGGCAGGGGCTCACTGAGTATTCAGGGCCCTGAGGCAGGGGCTCACTGAGTGTTCAGGGCCCTGAGGCAGGGGCTGAGTGTGCAAAGGCCCTGAGGCAGGGGCTCACTGAGTGTTCAGGGCCCTGAGGCAGGGGCTCACTGAGTGTTCAGGGCCCTGAGGCAGGGGCTCACTGAGTGTTCAGGGCCCTGAGGCAGGGGCTCACTGAGTGTGCAAAGGCCCTGAGGCAGGGGCTCACTGAGTATTCAAAGGCCCTGAGGCAGGGGCTCACTGAGTGTGCAAAGGCCCTGAGCATGACTGGGATGGGGTGAATCATGGGGAAGCAAGCAGAGCCTGTGTGAGGCCTTTAGAACTACACAAGAATTTCTGATTTCATTTCAAAACTGAAGAGGAAGGCTTCTGAGAAGTTTGAATTAATGAAGAACAAGGAGAAAGGAGGGAGAGGATATGAGAAAGGCAGGTGCCAGAGCAGCGTCTGATGTGGTTTCTTGGTTTCTTATAAAAAGAGAACCAAGAAGATTGGCTAATGGGGCCATGAGTAAGGAGGAAGAAAGAGATGTGTAAAGCGACCCCAGGGAAAAATGCCTGAGAGATCCCGTGACCACAATCAAAATGGAGAAGGGGCTGAAGGAGGTGTCTCATGTCACTCTTTACAGATTTTAGGGGTCTATGTCTTGCCCCCCCCTTCTCCCATCCCCACATCCAATAATCCTGATTCCAAAGTGGTTTACAGCCACTCAGGGTCATGCAGCTATGGTGGGCAGACCCTGGAACAAACCATGTCTCTCAGCCCCTGAGCTATGTCAGCCATCAATAGAGCTAAAGCTGTGTGACATTTGCTGTTTCATTCACCAGAACCTGTGTGTCCTGACCTATCAGCAGGCTCAGTGCCGGGACCACAGAAAGATGTGTATACCATTCAGCTATAGGCTCAGTGGTGAGGAGACCCAGAGAGGGTCCTGTGGTGTGTCCCAAGCTCTGGGCAAAGCATAAGCCAGGGGTGAAGAGGAGGACCCTTGCATTCCCTTCCCACTTTAAAGCCTGCCTCTGAAGCCTTCAACTTTGGTGCCTTGGGCAAGCACCTTAAATTCTGCCTCCTGTTTTCTCACCTGTGGAGGGGGGCGATAAGATTGTAAGGGGTGGGTTGTGTCCAGGTGAGAGAGTCATAGTGAGGAGTCAGACATGCTGGGCTGACATGGGCTTCTACAGGCTGGCTGTGATTAGCAGTCTTAACTAGGCACTCAGCCCTGGAACCCAGGTCTTTTGATATTTATAATCAGTATTCTGCCTCAGCATCCTGTGGGGAAGGCTCAGCTCAGCACAGCTGGGCTGGCTCAGGGTAATACCAGATCCCCAGAGCCCGAGAACAGTGTTTAAGGCCTGACAGTGCATCCCACCCCTGACGAGCTTCCAGCTTCAGTGCAAGAGTAGGCAAGCTGGCTGGCTGGCTAGCTTGCTGTCTGCTTGCTGCCTGCTTGCTTGCCTGCTGAGTGATTCAGTCTCTTATTTTCCTGGGAAAGCACTAATTACCACATGGCTCCCTGGGGGCCTGGCGAATGATCTGTCAGAGCCCCCCCCCCCAGCCCCCTACACACACCTGGGAGTACTGTTACCATCTCTGAGAAGGTGTTGCCCTGAACTTGGCCTTCCCACAAGGAGACAGAATCCAGAGGGCCAGAACAAAGTGGCCATCAACAGGGAAGCTGGGGTTGGGCTCACAAACCATGCCTGTCTTAGCTCACAGTGTGGTCTCCAGACCAACCGCATCAGCTTCCTGAGGCCCTTGCTAAAACTGCAGATTCTCAGACTTTACCTTGATACCTACTGAATCTGGGGTGGGGTTCTGGAACCTATGTTTAACAATCTTTTTAGGGGATCTGAAGTTCACCCACACTGGAAAATCACAGATGTGGAGGGTTGTGGCTGAAGAGGTGGTTGTCAAGTGTGGTGACTGCAGCACAGGCTGGTAAAGAGAGGTACCTGCCTTCAAATGTGAGCTCTAGTGATCCCTTACTCGGTGAGCTAGGACAGATCACTTTATACATTTAATAATACTGATTTACATCCCACTGTTTAGTGTTGAAAGTCCCAAGGCTGCAGCTCCAGGGAAAACAATTGTAATATGAACTCATTTAACCCTTATAGGATGGGGCCCTGTCATTGCCCCATCAACGCAAGTGAGGAGATCATGATGGCAACTTGCTCCGTGGCTAATCTCAGCATGCTAAACTTTGGATCTTTCCCCCAGAGACAACCACCGAGCCTCTGGGCTGAGCCAGCCTATAGGGAGGTGGATGAAATCCAATAAGGGTCGCCACAGAGACACACAACAGCACGATGCAAAGGTAAAATAAAATGGGGCAGAGGATAGGACTTTGGGGGAGGAGAGGCGTGTCCAACAGGGGTCTCTGGCAAGACCACACTGGGAAAGGTCTAGTAGAAGGGGTGGTTTAGGAGGACTGGGAGGACCCAGGGGCCCAGGATTAGGAGGCTGTAGTGGCTTCCTAGAGGCTTTGGCAGCACAGCGGCCTCAGGGCCCATGGTTTTGGTGAGGCTGCTGGGCTCGTGGAGGTAAAGCCGAAGACAAGGAGTGGATCCCTGTCACCAAGCTGGGCCGAATGGTTAAAGACATGAAGATCAAGTCCCTGGAGGAGATCTACCTTTTCTCTCTGCCCATTAAGGAATCGGAGATTATTGACTTTTTCCTGGGGGCATCTCTAAAGGATGAGGTTCTAAAGATCATGCCAGTTCAGAAACAGACAAGGGCTGGCCAGTGGACGGGGTTCAAGGCTTTTGTCGCTATTGGGGACTACAACGGTCATGTTGGTCTTGGTGTTAAGTGCTCCAAGGAGGTAGCCACTGCTATCCGAGTGGCCATCATCTTGGCCAAGCTTTCCATCGTCCCTGTGTGGAGAGGCTACTGGGGGAACAAGATTGGCAAGCCCCACACTGTTCCATGCAAAGTGACAGGCCGCTGTGGCTCTGTGTTAGTGCATCTCATCCCTGCCCCCAGAGGCACTGGCATCGTCTCTGCTCCTGCACCTAAGAAGCTACTGATGATGGCCGGTATTGATGACTGCTACACATCAGCCAGGGGCTGCCCTGCCACCCTGGGCAACTTTGCCAAGGCCACCTTTGATGCCATCTCTAAAACCTACAGCTACCTGACCCCTGACCTCTGGAAAGGGACTGTGTTCACCAAGTCTCCTTGTCAGGAATTCACTGACCATCTTGTGAAAGCCCATACCAGAGTCTTTGTTCAGAGGACTCAGGCTCCAACAGTGGCCACCGCATAAGGGATTTTATACAAGAAAAATAAAGTGAATTAAGTCTGTTTAAAAAAACAGCCTTACTCTGCTGTAAAATGAAGCAGTTACTAGCACCCTTACTAGGTGTAGCATGACTATATCAAAGAACAAGATTGAAAAGCACATTAGATGCTAAAATTATTATTATTATTATTATTATTATTATTATTATTATTATTATTGAGAGCTGAATTCTAATCTCGACTATTCGAGCTGCCCGTCCTAGGTAAGTCATGACACCTCTCTGAACCTCCATTTCTACAGCTACAAAATGGGAATGACAGTAGCCGCCCCCAGGAAGGGGCCCACCTGAGGGTCAGAAAGCACATGGGAGCTAGTCCATCACTTCACTCCCTGCTCCCAGCCCGCTCAGCAGTTTCCCTCCAGCACAGCTGGCCCGTGCTGCAAGCTGCCCAGGGGGGTGTGATACTTATTTTTAATTGTTCTGGCTTCAGAGCCGAGGCCTCTAACTCCAAACGGCTCCTCTTGCCCTGCAAAAATAGGTCGTTGGCAGCTCGATCCTCCTGACAGGTCCCACACAAAGGCAGCCAGGCCTGGCCTGCTGATGCCAGCCCAGGGCTATGGGAACCAAGAGCAGGCGTGGGCAAGGCTAGATCAGCAGCGCTGAGTCTCTGCAGGCCCCAGCATGCCGGGCAGAATGGCCCTGGTCAAGTCAGTGTCTGTCTGGCCTTGTTCCTTTCATCTAGAAACACAAAGGGGTGGTGGGGGACTCAGGAAGAGAACATGGATCTTAGGGCCTGGCACACACTAGGATGCTTTAGTCTCTCTTACAGAGGCCAAAACCTCCTGGGATTGCATTCACATCCCAGCCACTAGTAGCCAGTCATATTACAATTGTCTTTGTTAGTCATTTTTCATAGACTGAGGTTCAAATAAACAAACAAACAAACAAATAAATATTGCCCTGGTCGCTTAAGTCAAATCACTTGTGTCTTAGCTTTGAAGTCCCCAGATTCTTCCCCTCCTCCAGCTCATTCAAGTGTCCTCTCTAGCACTTCCCCAACTCTGCAGCACACACACACACACACACACACACACACACTCAGAGAGAGAGAGAGAGAGGGAGAGAGAGAGAGAGAGAGAAATGTAATTAAATCTTCATCATGCAACCTCATATAAAAGTATTCTGCCGAGTGAGGAATGGGCAGGAGAGAGAGAGAAGAAATGGACACCTGCAAGAGGACACGCATAGCTGTCCATCTTGTCTTTTGGAGCCGCATTGGCCCTCTTTGTGGATATCCCTGGTCCTTCCCTATGTATTCCTCCCTGGAGTACTGATGCCCATCTGACTTGTGAAGCATTACAGGTTAATCTGTCCCCTCCTTGCACGCAGATTTGTGCCTGGTTTGTCCTCTCAGCTGCCACATCTCTATCACCCAGTGCTCTGTCGAGCACATAGTACACACTTAATGCATTCATTAAGTGTATGAACAAATAGTATTCAAATTAAAGCACCCAGACTGGCTGCTATGATGGCTGGTTCATATCAATTATCTGTCTTAATCTGTGTGACCCCAGGCAGGCTGTACCTTCCCCGTTTAGACATTCACCTACAAATCAGTGGACTTACAGTAACTGACAGGTGAGCATAAGTGACTTTTATGTGGACTTGGGTTCGAGAGTGAAGGGGTAGTTTGCAAGCTCTGCTGAGCGCCTTTGCCAAAGATGCTATATATAAATAGCAGGTGGTACAATGCTTATTCTTCCTAATCCCACAGTGGCTAATCCCAGGCAGCTCTGTGTCTAGGAGTGAATGCCTGCCCCAGAACCAGGAGCAGCACAGGGCAGGAGGCTATCCTCTTTGACTCCTGCAGTAGGCCCTTCCCCCTCCTACCCTAGGCAGATTTCGGAGGAGAATTTTCACAAGGCTTCGCTGGGCACCTTCATGGTCCTGGCAGACATAATCTAAAGAGCTGTAGACTCCCTATAGCCAACCTCGGATGCTAGAACCAGGCTATCTTTCTCGCCTAGTCGTCTGACTGCACACTCTTTGCCCTCCAGCTCCCTCTATTCCGTGTAAATCAAACATGGAAGTCCCTACCTGATCCTGCCTGCAGTGGTTCCTATCCACAGAATCAATTTTCTTGGTCTTCTGGACCACCCTCCAGAAGTATGGCTTCTACATACTGTCGTCCTTAGCTAAATGAGCTAATACCCACGTGTGTGTGTGCACATACACTCCTTACCAGACCATCTCTTTTCATTCTTTCGGTTTGTACATACCTGCATCTTCTAGCAGACTATGGGTGGGTTCTTGTTATAATCTCCTAGGCCCAAAGAAATACAACTAAAATTCCTGCTAGGACTGCCCTGTGGTCCCTCAAGGACCAGCTGCCTAACACTTCCCAAACACTGTTCTTGCCCTTGGTACATGGTGAGCTCTTCTTAAAATGCAGTGCAAATATCAACTCATGTAACCCTCCCAATGGCAGTTCTGGGTCGCTGCTCATGTTGGCCTGGCTGCTTAAAAGGAAGCCAGGGCACGGAAACAAGCTCTGTCTCCAAGTCTGCAGCTTCTAAGATGGGAAAAAGGATCTAAGCCTTGGAAGATGGTCCCTATGCCTAACAGCTGCACCCTGCTTGCCTCTGTGGAAGGAAAAAACAAAACAAAATAAAACAAACAGAAAAACCAGAAGCAGGTTTTTGGCCAGAGGTGCAGAGGACAGAGGGTTGCCATTGCATACGGGACTTTCTAAGGCCTGGCCTTAGGCAATCATCCTCCTGGTCTCTTAGCCTCAACATCCTCTTTATGAAGACACTGAGACAGCAGGGCCTGCTTTGCCTCATTACTTCACTGTGTCCCTCAACTGCCATCAAGGGAGGCAAAACTGGCTATCTCTGAACTTACTTCAACTCAAACTCTCCAATTAGTAGAGGGGCTTGATCCCGCTTCCTGGGCCTTGTGTGCAGCCTTGATCTGACTGCTTCAAGGGTTCCCTCAAGGAAACCCCAGAGCTAGAGTGCATTGTGCATCCAGAGGCTGTGTCCTTTGGGATTAGCTCTCCTTTCTCTGTCTTGCTCATTAGGGTCACTATTTTGCAGCCCAGGCCTCTCCCAGCACAGCTCCGTCTGAGCCCTCTCCAACCTCAATCTACTCACCCTGATGAGACAGCCTCTGGTCAGTCTCCTTCCTAGGGTCCAACCCTACCCTTCCCCTTCCCCTACCACAAGCTTTCTTGCTACTCCTCTCCCCCAGCGCATCTTTACCAAGAGGCACTGAAGTCCTTCCTACACACACGCTATTTTTGTACCATCACTCTCTCCTTCCTCTCCCCCTTCCCCCTGCATTCACTTCCTGCTTTTGCTTTACCTCGGGCCAGCTTGGAAAGATTTGGACCCCTAGTACCCACACCCACCCGGAGGCCGACCTTCTGCTTTGGGACACATGAACAGGGCCTCTTGGGGAGGGGCAAAAGCAAGCCTCCCCGCCTCCTCCATTCTCTGGGCCAGCGCGCCGCGGGCAGCCTCTTGCCCACTGGAGGCGAGGACTGGCCAGGGTGAGAGGCCGAGGCCAGTGGCGATCGGTTGCCACTTCCCCAGTCCACCTTAAGAGGACGGAGTAGCCAGCCCGCGGCGCCGACCTCAGAAAAACAAGTTTGCGCAAAGTGCAGCGCGGCCAGCCTCTGGGCAGCGGGAGCGGTGCTTCCACCGCCTGGCAGCCCTGCGCGCGGCGGCGCAGGTCCGAGCGGCAGGCGGGGACCCGCACGGGCAGAGCGGGCTCGCGCAGAGGCGAGGCGGGCGGCGCAGCTCGCGGGGCGCACTGGGGCGCGGGCGGGAAGGTGCGGGCGCGGGGCGGGGGCGCTCGGCCGGGCCGCCCTCGCGCTGGCCTCGCTTCGGCTCGGCGCAGCCCGCACTCGCTCTGCGAGCTGTCCCTGCTCGCGCTCGCTCTCAGTGCTCGGTCCCTGCTCCCTCTCCCTCTTCCTCTCCCCCTCTCTCCCTCTCCCTCTCTATCCGCTCCCCCGCCCCCGTGCTTCTGGCTCTGCGCCTGGCTCCCTCGGGTCCGCTCCCCTTTCCCGCCGGCCTGGCCCGGCGTCACGCTCCCGGAGTCTCCCCGCTCGGCGTCTCGTTGTAGGAGGGGGTCAGATCACCCCGCCGGGCGGTGGCGCTGGGGGGCAGCGGAGGGGGAGGGGCCGTAGTCGTTCGCCCGCGCCGCCCGCCCGCCTGCCGAGCGCGCTCACCGCCGCTCTCCCTCCTTGCTCTGCAGCCGCGGCCCATGGAGCCCGCCGGCCCGGCCCTTGGCCGCCTAGGGCCGCTGCTGCTCTGCCTGCTGCTCTCCTCGTCCTGTTCCTGGTCAGGTAAGCACCCTCAGCTCCCACCGCCACCCTCCCCAAGCTGCGGGCTCAGGCCCCGCACACTGCCGCTCAGCTCGTGTCGACAGATGCCTGTAACCGGGGTTCCAGATGCAGAATTGAGGCCCAGAGAGGGTCAGCCACTTGCCCAAGGTCACATAGCCCAGGCTAGAAGCCAGGATAGAACTCTTCTTATGCGGATCTGCCCTGTGGCCCGTGACTGTGTAGCCCTGCGCTGAGCAGCAAGGTATTGGAATGAGTTGGTTTACCGTACCCCTTGCCCAACCCGAATGAGGAGGCAGGCTGGCAATTGCTTTCGGCAGTAGGGCGCCTGGCTTCCCCAATAGCTCCCTTGCTAGACTTGATTGGAGAGAGGGTGGGGGGCCAGAGGTCCTCCCGCGCTGCTGGGCTTGTTGGGATGAGGGAAGAGTGAGCTCTCCTCCTAGTACCAGAGCAAGCACTGTTAGTGTGTGGAGGTGTGGGAGAGAGGAAGAGAGGCCTGGGTAATCAACAGCCTCTTGGGAGACACGGTGGATGTACCTGTGGTGGCACAGCCTCTCCCTGGATGATCTCCTCCTCCCGCTACCCTCCTGCCTTCCTTAGGCAGCTTTCCAGAAGCTCCCTGCAGTTCCCGCATGTACCTGTGGCTCTGAGCTTGTCTTCTTTGTTGGTCTACAT